TTTTGTTTTCTGGTTTTGTTTTCCTAGGCAGTGAAAATAGAACTGAAGGACCTGGTCCGGTGAATTGTTAAGAAAATGTGTGTGCTCTTGAGTCCCACCCTCAGTAGCTGTGTGATGTTGGGCAAGTAATTTAAGCTCTCAGGGTTTCTACTCATCTGGAAAATAGGAACAATCCTCACACATTCTCATGAGAATGACTTAAGAGTGTTAATATAAGAGACCAGACCTACAGCAAGCACTCATTAAGTGTTAACAAGAAAGAAATATGGTGCACATAGATAGATAGATAGATAGATAGATAGATAGATAGATAGATATAGATATAGATATATTTTCCAGATTTCTGTACTTTCCAAACCTTCTGCAATCAAGACTGACTTCTTTCATGACCAGAAAAGAATGATAAACCACAATTTTGCATTTTTTTCTTTTTATAATTTAGGGAATGACACATGATGAGAGAAAAGATAGGAAAACAAACAGATGCAATCACCGTCAAGGGAGTCTTTTTATTTGGGGTAATGACAACATGTGACCCTCGGGGTACCCTAATCAAAGCACAACTGTAGGAACAGTAAACATGAAGAATTGTGAGTGTCATTGGTTATCAACCGTGCCCTGGCTCTGCACACTTAGATCCCCAGTAGAGGGGTTAGGTCACAATGTGTACTGCTCTTCGCCCCCGTCCAAGGCTGCCCTCCTCCATTTGGTGCAAAGCCTGGATCTACAGCAGCAAATTAAAGAAATAGAACAAACCCATCCCAGGGCTTCTTTAAATATTCAGATAAACCCATGTGCCCCTACCAGTTAAATTAAGCTTTCCTAAGAAAAAGTAAGTCAATTAGTTCAAAATGTGGGTTAGTGCTTCTGGGTATTTAAAAGGGGATCTTTTTTTCTGTTTTAGTTCATTTAGAAATATAGCCACGGGGCAGGTACATACCCACTCCTCAGCACATCCTGTGAATTGCCACGATATACCTAGATACTAATTTCTGATATCTAGAGCTTCAAATCTGGTCCTTAAACTTTCTCAAAGTCATGAAGATATTGAAATAGGAGGTTTAAAATGGATCTTGCTTTGCCCTTTTATCTTCACCATCATTTATCGCTATTCATCAAAGAGCACTTGACATTGCTATAGAACATGATTCTCCCTAATTAAACTTCTTCCTTCCTTCATCCAACAAATACTTACAATCTAAACTTTTGCAAACAAAGGTACGTCTCCAAGACATTGTGAAATGTAGTTCTAAGGCACACTTTGTGATGTGTACTATAAAACTCATTTGTTCAAGTTATCTAGATGCAATAAACCAAACTTTACCAAAATACGAATAAGATATTTTTTAAGAAGATAAATTTCCAGAAGCAGATTTCTGGGTTACAGAATGTGAATGTTTTCATGGTTTTTGAGAGGTTGCCTGTTGCTTTCTTAAAAGGCTGTCTTAATTGATTTTGACAATAAAAAATATGAGAGTAACATTTTCATACCAATATTCAAATATAAATGTTTTTTCACATTTTTGTTGTTTTATTTTGCTTTTAATAACTTAATAGGCTTTTTTAAAAAAATGTAGCAGGTAGTTTCAGGAACATTTTATGTTCTGAGACAATTGTAAATAGCTCCTCCATTATTTAACATATATGTATTTGTTACATGACATTATCTCCTTTTCTACCTTAATTAGTATTGCAGTACCCTTTAAAAATATATGGTTAGGAGATAAAGAAACCATTATCATTATTTATTTTACATTTGATTTAACGTTGACAGCCTTCACATTTGACTTCTTTATTAACCAAGTAAAGTTTCATTCTCAGAATATTATAACAAAGAGAGATAGCACACTTTAAGCTACATGAAAACACAATTGACTTAGGAAAGCTACATTCCCCTCATAGATTACTTGTTTTAAAAACACCTAGGAGACTGGTAGGTGATTATTAGATAAAAAGATCAAGAATTATAGTTACCAGGTAACAATAAGAAAATAAAAATTCTACTCTTGTCAATCACTGTGTTAAGTTCAAGTTGACCTGTTTTTTAACAAAGCATCCAAGATAAAAGTAGGTAACACCCTCCTTGCCCCCAGGAGATTTAGGCAGAACAGCCCAGGATTTTAGTAGAAAACACCTCATTCTAGTCTGGTTGGGTTTGTGGATATTCCTTTTGCCTCTAAACTCTTCACTGTCATTCTTTTAAGACACAAATGGGTCTCTACTTCCAATAGTCCAGGAAAATAGTACCAGTGTTTTAGATGCCAAGTGACAAAGATGTCACTGTTTCTTAGGCCATTTCTGCTGTGCTCACAAGTCTAAGGCCTCAGCTTAGTACAGTTCTGGCTTTCCAAGATTCCCAAATCAAATGACACACAGAAGTATTTTAAAGATAGCAAATTGTTCCCTTGAAGATTTTTTTTTTTCCTTCTTTGGTTTCTAGAACTGAATGTGGTTGGATAAGTGGCTCAAGCGTGGGATATGGAGCCAAATTTTCCTGCCCTACCTTGATCTGGGAGACCTTGGCAAATGGCTTAAACTTTGTGAGCCTTCTGGCCTTGGGTTTCTTGTTTATAATCAAGCCTGGAAAATATTGGAGCTAAAAAAGTAAGAGCTAACAGTTGGATGTTTACTAATGTTCCAGACACTGTATTACATCCTTTACTCTTATTAATCCATTTAATTCTCACAACAATCATGTGATGGAGGGGCAATATCATCCAGATAATAAAATAATGAGAGAAGTGAGATATAAAAGAGGGTGGCTGGTGAGTCAAACCCAGGCAGTCTGGTTTCAAAGATGAAGCTTTTAACCACTTTGCAACATACCTTTTGTGGACATACCTTTCGATGTCAAAGGCTCTCTCCCCACACATAAACACCTGTAGGTTTATTGAGTGTCTACTATGTGCCAGCTCTCTGCTAAAATATGCTAAGGAATTGTACTGGCAATGAACCAGAGGTGCAGTAATAAATGAGACACAGTTTCTGCTCTTGTGGAGTTTTCTTTACTTCCACTTTGCAGAGTTAGATTACATGGGTTTTGTTTTCACCCGAGTTCAGAAAAACATTACTCAAGATGATCTTCAACTGATTTCAACAATTTAGTACTGAAACTCTGAAACAAAGATATGTCATAATAGCTTCAATTTGAATTCATAGTTCACCTCCAAAATGCTTTATGAATCTTGTAATGATCAAATCAAGAGAGTATGACTTAAAGGTAATGAACTAAAAAGTTATAAACTAAAAAAGGACTTAAAAGTGATTAACTATATGCTTTTTCTGGCCTCTGCCCCCCATAATTCCTTGAATTTATCAGTTTAAATCCTCCCTAACCCACCTCTCTTAATACATAGATACCTCCATTCCCTGGCCCCTCACTCTACTTCTGCAATAACTGCCTATAGTAATGTTCTACTAGAAAGGAATTCACTATAGGGAAATATAAACCAAAAGTAGTCATTGCATTCGTTTTCACTTGCAAACAATAATGTTGCCGTGTAGTTACATTTCATCCTGATTTTTAATATAGAAATTCAGATCCATTATATTTTAGATTTTTCGCACCCACACAAGTTTCTTGCTAAATATAGGATTTCACTAAACACAGATCCTGTTCATTCATTTGTTCAAGGTAAACAACTGGAGTGCTCACCGGGTTCCAGGTACCAGCCTAAACCACAAAGGTATATTGGTTTAGTACAGGAAACAGGCAGATGAAGAGCAACTATCAATTACATAACAGTAATGCTCAGAAGACTGGAAGGCAAAAGGAGAAAAAGCTGAATGTTTCTTGATAGCATAATCTTTAATAAATTGTGAACTTGAAATGGGAGTAGGTGGGTTATAAATTGAGGGGGAAACATTTGCAGTTTTTCCTTCTAAAATAGCCCTGTCACTACTTTCAAGTAATCTAAGAAATGGCAAGACACACATATATAGTGGCTACTTTATAATAATGATGAAAGAAGACAAAAAATGTGGAGCATCCTATTGAAGTTGTAAACATCTTAGCACAGCTTAAAGAGTTCTGACCATTAAAAAATGGCAATAAATGTTCCATACAGTACTGGAACCGTTCTTTTACAAAGAAGATTTGCATTCTACACAAGAAATAAAAGAAAGCTTCCTTACAAATGAGTGACTGGCAGCTGTCAGTGAAGTCCTGGGCTGAATGGACTTCATGATAGGGCGGAATCAAAGTGAAGGAATCCTGGATGGGTTGATAGGCAGACGTCAACCAACGTTGCCTCTCTAAGAAGAAAGCTTTTTTTGATTTCCCTCGGTTTGGAATTGAGTGCGTGGAACCACAGGATGTTTTTAAGGGATCATTTATGAAACCTCCTTTATGAACTCAACTGTAATTTTGTATTGTTGGGTTTTAAAAATTAAGCAACACTTTTTTTTTTTGATCGGACTACAGGGAGGTTTATAACTGCTTGTTTTTTCTGGGTATTCTTTCTGGTAAATACTGTAGGTATTAATCTGAAGAGGTCTTTCCCAATATTTATGGAGTATCATTATGAGCAAAGAATTGTGGTAGCGTTGCAGGCAGTGGTGTCATGCAATAGATTCACAATCGCCCTATAATCAGGCCAAGGCACACTTTCCAAGGTGCTTTTTTCGTATCTAACGTAAGCGGGGGTCCTGCTGGTGGTTTGCAAACTGTTTAGGCAGCATCTGAAACTGTTGTTTTTCGAAGTCCGTTAAAAAGCTACTGTGCTTGGGGTTTTCTTGTTCTGCTATTCCCTACCCCCGCCCCCTGGCTTTTTCCAGTGGAGACCTGCCCTGGGGGTTATTTTGTCCTGGGAGCACAAAACTATTTTCTTTTCTGGAAATAAGTTGACGTCAACTGGGAGCTGTTTTTGGTTGCTTTGTTTCCCGGAGCGTCCAACCCAGCACACCGCCTCCGGCAAATGCGAGCAATTCAAAGCAGCTCTCCAGGCAGGGAGGGGAGCCGGGGGGCGGAGGGACACCCTCCGCCCACGGAAGTGGGACGACCCGGGGAGCAGCTTCAAACTCCTGGGCTGGAGGGTGGGCCTGAGTCCCCAGGCGAAGCTGGGAGCACAGTTCCCTCGGTTCACTGCGCTCGCGGTGAGGGCCGCGGGGGAGCAGCCCCTGGTAGGTAACTTGACTGGCGCCCATCTGAGTTCCCAGCACTGCTGAAATTCTCGCCTTAGCGTTCCGGCGGCCGGAAAACCTGGGCGCATCCCGGGACAAAGGGCCAGCCCTCCAGAAGTAGCCGTGTGCGACTGGTGTGTGCCAGCTCGTGTACGCGGGTCCGCGTGTGTAACCAAGCTGCCTACTGCCCTGGGCTCCGGAAAACAAACAAACGCCTTTCTACGTATTTTGGGCGGTGAGGAGGGCAGTGCAGTTTGAACAAAGCCGGCTGCACCTTGAGGATGATTCCCAAGGAGTGTGACCTCTGGTTTCCTCGCCTCTTGTGATGGTTTTCTGCGGAGAGCAGCAGGGGTGTGTGCGTGTGTGTGTGTGTGTGTGTGTGTGTGTGTTTCCCCGAGGAGCAGGAGGGGGCCCGCGAGGCAGGGACTTGCTCTAACTTGTTCACACCTGGCGTGGTTTCCCCAACGCTCCTTGGCGTCCAAGGCCCTGGAGACACGCACGCGGAGGGCGAGGACTGATCGCTGAAGACACCATCAACTCCCACTTAGACGCCCACGCTGCCCAGAGACCTGTCCTTTTTATAAAAAAAGAACAAATGGACGGATGGGTTTCTATTGATGCGTAAAATTATAAACGGCCCGGAAAGCAAGACAGAGGGCCGGGGAGAGGGGAATGGGCAATTGACAAGACTCCCACAGAAGAACTGCAGAGAATTCGGACTGGGAGGCAAATCCAAGGACGCACTCGTAGCTGGCAAGGCTGCCTCACAGAAGGGCCGTCCGGGGTCGGGGTCGCGCTGTTGGGACCTGACTCCATCGGTTCCCCTAGCCTCGGGGGCTCGGAGCTGGCCCGCGCGCCAGGCAACACTTGGGCTGCCCAAAGGAGGACAAAATTAGGATGCAGTGCAAGCTCCGGAGGTGGCCGAGCTGTGCCGCCAAGTAAACAGCCGAGATCTCTGGCGTCTCTGGGGACGCTGCCCCTGGGCCGGGAGAGCAGGAGGCGGCGACGCGAGGACGCGCGCAGAGCCTGGGCGCGCGGGAGGCGGGTGTTTGGCTGGAAGTGGGACAGTGTCTCCTATGGGAAAGCGGGACCCGGCGAGCTCTTTGGCTGCTTTTCCAGTTTCGGAGGTGCCCGCCCCCGCACGCCGGAGGCAGCGCAGCCCGGAGGGCGAACGAATGGCGGTTGGCAAACTTGGAACGAGAGAGCGCTCGGAATCCGAATTGCCGGAATTGTGACGGCAGCGGGGGCGGCCGAGACCCAAGTTCACTTTTTCCGCCCGCCCGCCCGCCCCGCGGGCCTCAGGGACCGGGTTTGCTCGAGCTCCTACCAGGTGGAGCGCCTCGCTAGAGGGAGTTGTGTCAATTTGCTCCGAGGCAGGGCGGGCGGTGGCCTGGGCGGGTGGGGAGGGGTCCCTGGGGTTCCGAGAGCCTCTCCCTGCGTCTGCCCTCCCAGCCGCCCCTCCCAAGTCTTTCTTTCTCACTCCTTCCCCAGGCTGGCTGGGCCCGCGCGGACTTGCCCCAAACCTACGGGGAGCGCCCCAGGTCTTTAATGACAGCTTAAAAGTGGCTGTTGGATAAGGCGAAAGGGAAGAGGCTGAGGTGGGGCGTGTTTCGCTCCTTTGCAAGAGTCGGAAAGGGAGCTGGGAGCTGTGCGGCTGGCCCCAGGCCCCCGCGCCTCGCCGCCAGCAAGTAGGTGGGGGAACCGCCGCCGCCGCCAGCCCAATCCCGCTCCCAAGCCTCGCCCGCTGCGCCCTGGCCGCGGGCGCAGAGAGGGTGCGGGGCCTCGCCGTGCCTCCTCCACCCTGCTCATTAACCTGCCTGCTCCGCTCCGGGCGGCCCCAGACACAGGCTTCTCGAAGCAACACCCGCGGCCCGCCAGGCGCAGCCGCCTGCCTCCCTGAACCCTCGGCTCCGGGGGGCAATGAAGGGGCGGTGGAAGGGGCACTGCTCCTCGGGCATTACTTAGAGAAGCGAGACCGCCCCGCCCTCCCGCCGGCCCACCCTCTCTCCCGCCCGGGCCCGCGCGCCACTCCGCCAGAGGGTAAGTTGGGAGTGTTTCACCCCCACCGACAGCTCTCCCTCCCTCCCCGCCTTTTTTTCCCTTCCAAGTTTTCTCAGGAGTGGGGAGAGGGATGGGGGGGAGGAAGAGGGTCCAGCCAGCCTCCGTCCTTACCCTCTCCCTGTCTAACTTCTCCCCGCCTCCCCTCCATCCCCTGCGCGCCGCGGCCCCTCTGGAGCAGCGCTCCGAACTGACAATTGGAGCGCGGCTCCTTTAAGAGCCCGGCTTTGCCTCCCGGTAGCTGAAGGTCATTAAACACAAAAGCTCTCAGCGCTGCGGTCCAATATAGCGCATGCGCCCTGCCCGAGGACTGGCAGAGAGACGGCAATATGGCGAGAATGCCTGGCAGCGGGGACTGTAACACCAGCGCGGGCGGCAGCGCCGGCGCCACCGCCGCCGCCGCCGCCGAGAACAATGGGGAGCGGGGCGAGGGCGAGCGCGGAGCGGGGGGCCGCGGCCGCCGCCACGGCCGCCCGCACTACTGCAGCGCGGGCGAGGAGGAGGAGGAGGAGGAGGAGGAAGAGGACGACGAGATCCAAGAGGTGCAGATAACGGGGGACGAGGAGGAGGAGGACGGAGGTGGGGGGCTGGAGGAGGACGAGGAGGAGGAGGAGGAGATGGGGCTGGACTGGGACGAGCCGCTGGAGCCCGAGGACTCGGCCGGGGAGGAGCTGGAGCCCGAGCCGGTCCATATGATCAATATGGACCAGAGCGCCGCTCTGGAGCCCGAGGCGCCGCCGCGACTGCTGGCGCCCCGGACCCGCGGTGGGCCGCCCGGGGACGGCGCCGAGCTGGACCCCGACGTGCTGCAGCGCCCCGAGCGGGCCCGGCTGAGCGAGAACACCCGGCTGGCCACCCGCTACGCCGTGCGCATCTTCCGGGAGTACCTGAGCGAGAAGGCGCAGAGCCCGGACTTCGAGACCATGGACAAGGGGGCGCTGTGTCGCGTGCTGCGCTCCTTCTACGCCGAGGCCCGCTCCAAGAGCGGCCAGCTCTACAGCAAGTCGTCGCTCATCAGCATCCGCAGCTCCCTCAACCGCTACCTCAACGAGCCCCCGTACTGCCGCACGCTCGACCTCACCAAGGACCCGGAGCTGCGCAGCGCCAACCTGACGCTGGCTGCGGTCATCCGCAAGCTCGAGGAGCAGGGCGCCGGGCCCGTGGTGCAGAAGCAAGCCATCACGCGCGCGGACCTGCGCAAGCTGTACACCTCCAGCGTCTTCAGCACCAACACCCCCTTCGGGCTGCTCAACAAGGTCTGGTTCGAGACGTGCATGTACTTCTGCACCCGCGGCCGCGAGAACCAGCGCGAGCTGGAGGAGGACTCTTTTGGGCTGGCTATGGATGAGGACGGCCGCAAGTTCGTCTACTTTAAGTCCCTCGGGCCCTACCACAAGTCGCGCTCGTCGTCGTGGAGCAAGAAGCGCGCCGAAAGCAGCGACGAGGAGAACTTGCCCCGCATGTACGAGACGGGCACCGAGTTCTGCCCCTACGCCAGCTTCGTCAAGTACCTGTCGAAGCGCAACCCCCTCTGCAAGGCATTCTTCCAGCGGCCCCGGGACCACTGCAGCGAGGGCGATGTGACCTGGTACGAGAACAAAGCCATCGGCAAGAACTTGCTGGGCACCAGGATGCAGATGCTCTCCAAGGCGGCCAAGCTCTCTAAGACCTACACCAACCACTGCATCGGCGCCGTCTCGATCGCCACGCTCAACAGCATCGCGGGCATCGGCACCAAACTGGGCTCGCCCCCCCCGCAGGGCTGCTATGCCGAGGCCCTGAACGGGGCGGCTCGCCACCACTCCCACCACCCCCCTACACACCCCTCCCACCACCACCGCCCCCAGCCGCCCTCGCTGGGGAACACCTATATCCTCCCCAAAGACAGCCAGATCGGGCCCGACGTTAAATCCGAGGCTGCGCCCAAGCGCGCCCTGTACGAGTCGGTGTTCGGGTCGGGGGAGCTCTGCGGTCCCTCTTCCCCCAAAAGACTTTGTATCCGCCCCTCGGAGCCTGTGGATGCGGTGGTGGTGGTTTCCGTGAAACACGACCCCCTGCCTCTTCTTCCAGAAGCCAATGGGCACAGAAGCACCAATTCTCCCACAGTAGTTTCACCTGCCATTGTTTCCCCCACCCAGGTAACCAAGCTAAACTCTATGCATGAAATGTTTCTGTGGGACCACTTCGGGACTAACTTGTGGTAATGCAGGTCTGGGGGGTGTGTGTGTGGGGGGGGAGTTTGAAAAAGTAGCAAATATACTGAATCGGATTCCATTTCACCCGTAGCAACTTAACCCTCTTGGTGCTTTTCGGGAAAGTTTACTCCTCACCTTCCAGAGATGTGAGAGGGCAAGCGCCCTAACAATCACTGCTGCGCAGTAACACTAAAATCTTCAAAGTTCGCAGAACAAAAAGGGTTACCTCAGCCCTTGCAACCTCTCTCCATTGAATGCATGAGTTGTATAAAGCAAAGAGTGCAGGAATAGGGCACATATAAAGGAAGCAGTTACTTAAAATATATTTGAATAAAGTAACCATTAAAATACTCTGTTACATATTCACCATAATTTATGAAGTTAGAAAAGTAGTTATAAGTTATTAAATAGAAAACATGCCAGTTCCACTTCCTGTAAGGGGGCGGGGAGTGGAGAGACTGGCAACTGAGTGCCAGTAACATGTAGTTGAATGTAAAGTGACTTTGGGGTATATATAGTTTCCACAAGCTGAAGTCAGTTGTTAACATTAGATGGAAAGGGTATCTGCCCTACCAGCCAGGCTCCGAATTATAACATGCCCTGTGGTGCCCAGCACTGTGGACACTAAACATTGCTGTCTTTCCTTAGCCCCACAGAGCTCACCATCTAGGGGGCAGGTAAGACTTACGAATATAGGTGATTAAGACAACACAGGAGTGTGGCAAGAACAATTAAGAGTGGGCTTCAATGTCATCAAAGATAAGGGGACTGTTTTAATATTAAAATTATCCTAAGCAGTACCAATTTCTAGGTCTAGACTGAGGGCTTCAGTAGATGCTTCTTGTCTTATGATTTTTCCTGGAGGAACATACCATATTATTAAAATTATACTCATCTTTTGGATATTCTTCTCTAGGAGCCAGAAACCAGGTCTTGGGGGACTGTGCTCTATTCTGCAGGCAGGGGTAGCCCCTGGAGGTTTTACAGCTATGTCCTCCCTGCCATCAAACAGAAGTAGGAATTTCAACTTTAAGTCTGGAGGGTGTAGTGCAGGCTCTTCAAGGAACAGATGTCAGGTACCTCTGTGCTTTTTCCAAAGTGGAAATTCCAGTTCTGGACAAACTGACCCTTTGAAACATTTACCAGCTAATCAGCAAGCCTCAAGGCCAACTGAGAAAGGGGCTGTGAACGGTAATATAAACACCAAAGTTTCCTAAAATACACAAGACCGGTAGGCTTTGTATCTTCCTTTTCTGTACTTCTAGTGTGTGTGTAGTACATTTCTGACAGACCAGGAGGTTGCTGTAGGGAGTTTAAAGGATGAAGAAGAGAGTTTTTTCTCTTTGGAGAATTTGGGTTTGTGTTGTTTTTTTTTAAAGCAAAAATTAATGTTCACATTCTTCTGCTAAAGTAAAACCCCTTAAATTGTTGGTTCAGAATAGCATCTGATTAAGTATTAAAAGCCTAAGAGAGTTTATTAAAGTATATATCTACTTAGAATAATAATGAAACAGTTTGTCTACTGGCATCTATCTGTCTGCTGGTTTCTTGACACCAGTGTCAGAATCATGACTCAAAATCCACAAAAGATTGTGGGGTTGTTTGGTTGGTTTTGTTTTGTTCTAAGTAATGCCATCACTTTGTCACAGTCTTATTTTAACTGAGTAAGATAAATTAGTTCTATAAACCTGAATCCTGATTCTTCTATTTTTTTTGAGTTGTCCGTTAACTCCCAAGTTAAATATAGATTTGAGTGTCCATATGTTGGTTATGTTATTATTATGGCTCTCAAACATTATCTTAGCTAAGTCCACTGTAGTTAAAATACTACAAAAAGTTGTTCTTTTTGCACATATTTAATAGCAAGCTTTTCACTTAATATTAGAGTAATTTTTTTAATCAGCATTCAGAAGGTTACAGGAACTCTTTAGTAACTCCTGTAGAACTCATTTTATGAAGTATGAGCATTCTAAGTATGAAACAAATGTTTAAGTAGAAAGTTGATATTGAACTTTTTCTTCCCATATTTATTAAAATCACTGTAACAACTGAGGTCCAGAGCATTTCCTGGGGATTAATGGCTGGGGTTACTGGCCCATGGCTTTGCTCTAGGTTGTCAACTCCTCTAGCTGGCCATTAATCCCCAGGAAATGCCATGTGTACTTCAAGTTTCAGTCATTATTACTTAATTATAAACATAGGCTGTCTAACCTTAATTTTGACTGAACCTCATCAAAGTGGTGTGGCACTGAATTCCACTATTGACCATATTATTCTAGACTTCGTGATAACACAGTCACACCCTGATGGTTGACTCTCTTCTAGTATTGCAAGTTTCTCGAAAAATGAGGAGCCTGTTACTTTAAATGCATTGACTCATTTTACTTCTTGAGGATGTTAATAATGTGTCATTTATGGGACTGGTTGAAAAATGAATGCACTCAAGAATTAACAAAGATTATGGAATTTGTGATTTTTACTCACGTGAAATAGCTGACTTGTTTTTAGGAGGTGTGGGGGGTGTAGTTGTGATGGTTGCTTTAATTGGTTCACTCTTTAATTCTCTAGAATGGCTGTGTTCAAAGCAAAGGGTGGTTTTAGTTCCCTTTTTCCTCATGTCGCTGTTGTGATCTAAGATGATCCAGTTATTAGTGCAACATCCTACCTCCCAGGAGATCATTCTAAGAGGTGTAGCAGGCCTATCCTCCATCTTCATAGCTAGTCTCTTTGCATGAAAAAGCAGCCTTTTTCCTGCCTCAGAGAAGAGTACTTCAGCTTAGCTAAGTG